AGACCAGGCTGGCCTCGAACTCACAGAGATCCGCCTGGCTCTGCCTCCCGAGTGCTGGGATTAAAGGCGTGCGCCACCACCGCCCGGCTGAATTTTTTATCTTTTTAACAGTTGTGAGTTTAGGGCTAGTAAAATGGCTCAGCAGGTAAAGGTATTTGCCACCAAACCTGAGGACCTGAGCTGAATCCCCAGGGTCCATATGGGGAGAACCTTGACTCAGTAGTTAACCTCTGACTTCCACATGCATACCATAGCATGCTCCCCCTCCCACATTCAAAAACAAGTATCTTGAAAACATTAAGTTCTGAGTCAAATCTTTGAAAAACCGCATTCTCCTGGTCCCACCCTCTTCTCCAAAGGCAACCACTTAATTTTGTTAGATTTATTATTTTATATGTTTGAGTGTTTTACCTGCATGTGTATGTGTTCTATGTGTGTCTGTTGCCTTTAGAGGCCAGAAGAGGGCATCAGATCCTATGGAACTAGAGTTACAGTTATGAGCCATCATGTGAGTGCTGGGAATTGAACCCAGGTCCTCTGTAAGCAAAAAAGTGCTTAGCCAGCTCTATAGTCCAAAGCAACCTCTTTCCAGTATAAAATACACTTTTAACATATCTTTGATTTTGTTGTTTTGCTTTTCGAGACAGGGTTTCTCTGTGTAGCCCTGGTTGTCCTGGAACTCACTCTGTAGACCAGGCTGGCCTCCAACTCACAGAGATCCGCCTGCCTCTGCCTCCCAAGTGCTGGGACTAAAGGCATGCACCACCCTGCATGTCAAATCTCTGATTTTTAAATAGCACACAATTGTGTTTTTCTTTTCTCTTAATCTTGGGAGTCCGGTCGTTCTGTGAGTCAGTCACTGTGTAGTACAGATGGGCTTTGAATTTGCTCTGTAGCTTTGGAATGGACTCTTCCTACCTCAGCCCTCCTGTTTTTCCTTCAGGCAATGATGATAATCAGCTCTTTTTCTGTTCCTTCCATGTCTCGGTCTGTTTCTCCCCACGTCTGAATATGGTTGGGTCGTTACTTCTTCGTGAATACTAACAGAGCTCAGCCCTGTGATGAGTGGTGGTTTCCTGAGTTCCTTCTTTTCCCTGGAATCATTTACTGGGTTTACTTGGCTGCTTATGTCCTTGACGATCTACTTGACCTCTAAAGTCCCTTTTCGAGATCTGTACAGTATGTCACTAGTTTTAGACTCCTGAGGAGTCTGCTGGAGCCTTCCTTACATACACAGAGAATTCCCTTTGCCTCTTGTTTGCCTGTATTTTTTTTTTTAATCTTTCTTAGCTTATTTCAGGAGACATATTTTTAGTAGCTTCCTGGGAAAGGGTACATGGAAAATGTTTGACTTTAGACCTTGCATAATTTAAAATGTCAGTTCTACCACACATTAGACTGAGTTTATTATGTGAATATAAATAGGAAATGATTATCTTAAGAACTATATCCTGGTGGATGTGGCGCACACCTTTAGTCCTGGCACCAGGAGGCAGAGGCAGGCAGACCTCTGAGTTTGAGGCCAGCCTAGTCTACCGAGTAAATTCCAAGATAGTTAGAGCTACACAGAAAAACCCTGTCTTGAAAAACATACAGACAAAAAAGAACTATAAATTGTTCTGTTGTCTCAGTTTCCAGAGTTTAGTTTCTAGAATTGCTTTTGTGAAGTGTATACTTAGACCACTGTGGCCATCTGTATAAGACTCATTTTCGGAGAGAGGGCAGCTTTGAATGTAGCCTAGGCTAACTTCAAACTCAATATGTGGCCAATGATAGCCTTGAACTTACAATTTTCCCACCTCTACGTCTCAAATGCTAGGGCTATAGGTTTATGCGACTGTTCCTGTGTTTGTTTTTAACACAGTGCTGAGGAACAATCCCAGTGCCTTATGCATTCAAGTCAAGCATTCTACCAGATGAGCTACACCCTCAGCCCAACGAGACCCAGTTTTTATTTCCAGATGCACATAAGATTTTTGTTTTGTTTTGTTTTGTTTGGGACAGGGTTTCTCTGTGTAGCTTTGAAGTCTGTCCTGAAACTCGATCTGTAGACCAGGCTGGCCTCAAACTCACAGAGATCCGCCTGCTGCCCAAGTACTGGGATTAAAGGTGTGTGCCACACTGCCCGGCAAAGCTTGTAGGATTTTTCAAGATTCTTTCTGTTAGGAAATTTAGCAGTGTAGCTTTGTTGTAGGGATATCTTTACTCATTGGGGGTGTGGGGGGCATACTCATTTTAGAAATCCACATTTTTATATTATGTGACTTTTTGGTTTTTGTTTTTTTAATTTGGCTTGTTAAGTTCAGTCTACTACCCTACCTCCCCCCACCCCTTTTTTTTAATGGGACAAGGTAGGTAGCCCTGCTGTCCTGGAACTCTCTGTAGACCAAGCTGGCCACCACTCACATAGATCCACCTGCCTCTGCCTCCCAAGTGCAGGGATTTGGGGTGTGTGCCACCATATCCAGCTTGCACAACTTCTTCCTAATCTTTTCCCTTATAAGATTCTTTTTGTGTAGTTATAACACATAACATATCAGAAGCTATTAATAATTTCTTCTTCCTGTATTACAGCCTTCCTCCAAAGTTGCCTTTCCTTTTAAAGTTTTTATTTTTATCACAGAAGTACTTTTGTTGTTTTGTTTCTGTGATTCTTCATGTTGGGGGAAGGGAGGGGTTCTCTCCTTCCACCAAGAAGGTTCCACGGATTGAACTCAGGTTTTCAGTCGTTTCCCTAATCCCCACACATACAGCTTTCTCCTTGAAATTGTTTATTTTCCATGCACCTTTCTGCTTTCCTTAAATGTCTGCAGAAGAACAGCTTATAACCACATGGTGGTGTTCCTACCCATTCAGTGGCCCAGGCAGTAGGGACTAGAGACCGGTCCACGGTGGCTGGCCAGCAGGTCAGTTGGGAACAGCGGGGCAGCCTCGTGCACCAGACTAAGCATCAACAAACTCACAAGCTCATAGTCCGGTCTCCCTGAGCTTCCTCCTTGGTCGCAGCTTTCCCATGGGAGTTCCTGGGCCACCACCCACTGCATCTATCTGACCCACTGCATCGTCAGACCCCACTGATGGATGGAGCTTGTTTGGATGGAATGGCAAAGTCCACATATCTCAGAGGGGAATCCGTGTAATACTGAGAGCAGCAGTAGGGATCCTCTGTGATGGGCTGGTGGTCCGCTTTGTGTTCAGTCACTAACCAGAGGATATGGCTCCCAGCATGCTGCCTGGATCTGGAATGAAGCACCCAGTAATTGGAGCAGCAAACTTGAGCACAGTCCACCGGCCAGTGTCCATTAGACACGGTGCTGACATTAACAGTTTTTTTTTTTTTTTACTTTTTTGGGGGAGGGGCATTCCAGACAGGGTTTTTTTCTGTGTAGCCCTGGCTGTCCTGGAACTTGCTCTGTAGACCAGGCTGGCCTCGAACTCACAGAGATCCACCTTCCTCTACCCTCCTGCATGCTGAAGTTAAAGGTGTATGCCACCCTGTTGAGCTTCAACGGGGTTTTTGATAGCAACAGTGGCACCAGCTGTCAGCAGCAGCTTTTCCCAGGTCTCTGGTGATGCATTATTATGAAGATTTTTTCTTAAACCCTAAGACGAACTTTTGATGACCTTCACAGCCACATTTAATATACCTCGAGTTGACTTAAACTGATATTCTGTGTACTCAACCTATTTGTTTAACCTTCCTTTAGGAGAATGATGCAACAACTATCCTTACTTGCCGTGGGTGTCCATGTAATCAGCTTTTACAACCTAAGCGAATGCATAGCTTTTGTAACTAAGTTAGGTACTCTTCCATGTCCCTGGCCCACAGAGTCATGTGTGTGTGTTTGTATGTGTGTTACGACCATCATTTGCTGGAAATAGCAAATAGGCTGAACATAGTTTTATAAAATGAGTATCTACCGTAAGTGCTGGAAGCAGGGTTGATAACTGTGTGTTATCTGGGTTAGCTGGGGTCCACTGGGAGTCAGTGATTTCATCCCTTGTTACTCTGTTTCTAGAAAGTATCTTTCATGCCTTCCCTATGTGACGCTTCCGTGTTGTTCCATGAGAGAGAACAAACCCTTTGTTATACTCGCACCAGGGCAAGACAGAGTCACAAGACAATGTTCAGGCAGGCACAAATTCAGATTCATGCCCAGACAGAATAACAAGACGGGGAGAGCGAAGGAGAGAATTCAAATCTGGCTTGCTCTTGGTTAGATGACACCAGAAGTGCTTTAATATGTCTTTAATATGATACCAACACGTGGTTAGTGGCTCTGAGTGTTGGAGAATATTATTTTAAGGTCTGTTACTTTTGTTTAACTCTGTGAAGCTGTGTTACTGTGCCTGTCTAAAACACCTGATGGTCTAATAAAGAGCTGAACAGCCAATAGCAAGGCAGGAGAGAGAAATAGGCGGGGCTGGCAGGCAGAGAGGAGAAATAGAAGGAGAAATCTGGGAGAAAAAAAAAAGAAGTAGCCAGAGAAGGAGGAGGACCCAGAGGCCAGCCACACAGCCACCCATCCACCCAGGTACACAGAAAGCCACGGAGTAAGAGTAAGACTTACAGAAGTAAGAGAATGGGAAAAGCCCAGAGGCAAAAGGGTGATGGGATAATTTAAGATAAGGAAAGCTGACAGGAAACAAGCTAAGGCTGGGCATTCATAATTAAGAGTAAGCCTCTGTGTGTGATTTATTTGGGAACTGGGTGGTACCCCCCCCCCAAAAAAAAAAAAAAGAGCAAAAAGACTTTTTGAGCCACGTGGGGTGCCACAATGTTTTACTTTTCGGGGGAGCCTGCTGGGTGGCTGGCTCCTGAAGACCTCCTCCTTCTCTGGCTACTTCTTTTCTCCTTCCAGATTTCTCCCTCTGTTTATCCTCTCTGCCTGCCAGCCCCGCCTATCCTTTCTCCTGCCTCACTATTGGCCGTTCAGCTCTTCATTAGCCCATCAGGTGTTTTAGACAGGCACAGCAACGCAGCTTCACAGAGTTAAACAAATGCAACATAAACAATAGTAACAGACCTTAAAAGAATATTCCCCAACATCTGAGTTTGTTGTTAATGTGTTCAAACCGACTGCACAGGTCCTCTTCAGATTTATGATATAGATGCCATCATATATATCCTTTTGTAGATGGTACTCTTTCATCTGAAGTAAAGATTGGTGCCCCTTAAGTGGGTTCGTCTTGCAAGGAATTTGAGGATGATCTCCTCCATTTGCAGGATATCGAGGGTTCCAGACATCACATGGAGGTTTCCATTTAAGACACATGAATCAAGAACAAAGCTCATGCACCTCCCTGTTCTCTTTCAAACTCATGGCCTTTCTTTTTCATCAGTTCCTATTGCATGCATATATGTATTTGTATATACAAATATATTCCTCACTATAACGTAACGAATCCATATAACATTACTTGTATGTGTGCTTTTGGGGCTGGCCATGTGACATTGGACAGGCAACTGGTGTCTCTTCCTTAGAGAGGGATCACCTCTCCCGCTCCCAGCTTTCCTCTCTTAGCTGTGATTCTTTGTGGGCTGAGGCCTCGGGGGCTTTTCCCTGAACAGTTTGGCACCATATGCAGTTTTAAGAAGTAATAGAGATAGCTCAGCAGTTAATCGCAAGTATTGCTCTTGTGTGGGATCTGGGTTCAAATCCCAGAACCCACACCAGGCTAATCACAATCACTCTAGTTCCAGAGCATCCATGCACCCTGAGGGCACCTAATGTCATGCATCTCACATACACACACACACACACACACACACACACACTGACTAGAAAACAGTGCCAGGGCTGGAGAAATGGCTATGTGGTTAAGGGTGCATACTGTTCTTGTAGAGTACCTGAGTTTGGTTCTCGGCACTCACAATCAGGCAGCTCACAACTTCCTGTAACTCTAGGTCCATAGGACCCAACACCTATTCTGGACACCAAGAACACTGTGTTCATGTGCACACTCCCCCCCCCACACACACACATATACACATAAAAACATAAAATCTTGTGGTGGTGCATGCTTTTAATTCCAGCACTCGGAAGGCAGAGGCAGGTGCATCTCTGAGTTCGAGGCCAGCCTGGTCTACAGCGTGAGTTCCAGGACAGCCAGGGCTACATAGAGAAACCTTGTCTTGAAACAAACAAACAAAAACAACAAAAAATCTCTTTAATGAAAGACTATACTTTCAGGGGTTATTTCTATAGTTCATTACAAGAGAAGTTCCTCTGTGTAGAGCACCGGAAACCATGAGGAGGAGACGTGGCATTCTCCCCTGAGCGTGAAGCCGGCTCTTAGTGTTGCTTTCTGCAGCTGCTGCCTGCCATTGATAGTTCTCTCCCTCTGGGAGAGTGAGGGGGGAGAAAAATAAATTAAAAAAAGATCTCTTTAATGATACAGAGATTTCATGTAGCCTTTGCCCAGCTTCCCTGGTGGCAACAGGGGACTTTGCTGGACCTGGCTTGGAACTCACTGTAGACTAGGCTGGCCTCAAACTCGTGGTGATCCTCCTTCCTCCCGAGTGCTAGGACTGAAGTTAGGTAGGTACCATTCACTATTCCTGGCCACATTTTGCCCATTTTCTAACTGGATTTATTAGTAATCTTTGAGTAGTTTCCATTTTTAGAAATTCTGTGATAATACAGAGTTCAAATATACACCTCACCCAATTCCACTGCATTAACACCTTTACTGAACATTTGTCTAAGGGCCATCCTTGGTTTTTATCTGATAATCTTTTTAATTTCAAGATTCCATTTACCCATCACGTCTCCTTAGGTTATCTTACTAAGTTCTCTGGCTTCATTTGGTTTTGATGACCCTGACAGTTGGAGAACCACTGTCATGTGTTATGTAGATTGGTTTTCCGTTAGTATTTGGTATGTTTCTCCTAAAAGGCACAGACGTGGCTTGCCCTTCTCATCAGTCTCGTCTGTCTGTCTATCCTATATCTAATATATATTAAATATATATTATATATAGTAGGTAGTATATATACTATCAATATGACAGTGTAGATATTGGCCACCTTAATTACTGGCTAGAATAATAGCTATCATATTTCTTCCCTGTAAAGGTAGCCTTTTACAATTTTTTCTGGGTTGGGGATTTAGCTTAGTGGTAGAGTGCTTGCCTAGCAAGCACAAGGCCCTGGGTTCGATCCTCAGCTCTGGAAAATTAAAAAAAAAAAAAAAAAAGAAATGTTAGCCGGGCAGTGGTGGCGCACGCCTTTAATCCCAGCACTCGGGAGGCAGAGACAGGCGGATCTCTGTGTACAAGGCCAGCCTGGTCTACAGAGTGAGTTCCAGGACAGACAGGGCTACAACAGGGCTACACAGAGAAACCCTGTCTCGAAAAACCAAAAAAAAAAAAATTTTTTTTCCTCAACTTGTAAAGGCACCCAACTTACTTTATAAACCCATCCTAAGATGAAAATTTCATAAGTCAAGGTGTGCTGAGGGCCAGTGAGATGGCTCAGCAGGTTAAGGGGAGCTTGCTGCTAAGCCTGAACCCAAGTTCAGTTCTCAGCATCCACATGAAGGTGTGTCTTGTTTCTTTTCTATCGCTGTGATAAGACACCATGACCAAGGCAACTTATAGAAGAGTTTATTGGGGCTTACAGTGTCAGAGGGTGAGTCCATGACCTTCTTGGCAGGGAGCCTGGCCTGGCCGCAGGCAGGCAGGCAGGCAGGCACGCACTAGAGCGTTATGAGCGCTTACATCTTGACCTGTAAGTACAAGGAGAGAGCTAACTGGGAATGGCCTGGCGTTTGAAACCTCCAAGCCTGCCTCCAGTGCCACACCTCCTCCCCATAAGGCCACGCCTCTTCATGCTTCCCACACAGTTCCACCCAGTGGGGACCAGGCATTCAAGGATAGGACCTGTGGGGCCAATCTCATTCAAACCACCGCGGTGGGAGGAGAGCACTGCCTCCCACAAGCGGACCTTTAACCTTATGTGTGCACTGTGCTACACATATCTGCACACACACAAAAACAAACGTTTAAAATACCGAATGGAGTGAAACATGGCTTATGCTGGAAAGCAAGGGGAATGAAATTTGATACCTAGCAGTTAGTCCAACACTGGGTATACATCTTTTTAGGCACCTTACAAGACACTAGCGTTTTGTGGTAGATCATGGGTCAGCAACTACCCGAGACCAAACTTAACTCCCCACCTCCGGTAGTTTCTCTACGGTCCCCGCTGCTTTTGTGTTGGCAGCAGGTCAGTGGATTAGCGGGACTCCAGACCTTGCGGCCACAAGATTCTAAATACTTACCTGATTTCTGCACTAGAATACTGAAAGGTAAAAAAGTAGAAGCGTGTCTCACAGTTTACAGTTTACACACACACACACACAAGAGATGGCTTAGTGGCTAAGGGTGATGGTTTTTAGTGGCGCTCTTACCCTGCAAGGAAAAGTCACGAAACAGGACAGAATCCGCTAACAAGAGTTTTATTAAGACAAAGAGCAAGGGATAGCTGTGATCAGGCCTGTGGAAGGACATGTGTGAGAAGGGAGAGTGGGGGAACATGGGGCCTGCCTTTTAAGAGCCAGTTTGCACCCGTGCACACAGGCGCACTTGGCTTACTCCACGCATGCGCATAGATCATGTGGTCACATCGCGATTCCGTGACCATGCAGCCATGGGGCATGGGTTATGTATGGCGCATGACCCAAAAATGAATAGGTGGAAATGACTTAAGTGTCCTGCCATGCACGACCATGAGGGCATAGTTGGAATTCCTATCATGGAGTACTTCTTCACAAAAGGGACTGGGTGGGGTCCAACTCCCATAATCCACACCAGGCAATTCACAACCACAGTGACCTGTAACTCCAACTCTCTGACCTTTGAGCGCACCCAGATATACACGCATACATATTAATAAATATTTAACAAAAAGATTTACACACAACTAAAGAAATATTTAACAAAAAGGTTCATACACAACTAAGTAGTACCTAGAAAAATTAAGTGAGCTTTTGTTTATGAGAGCTATTACATATATTTGCCTGAAACTAGCTACCTTCTTGGCCTCTGGGGGAACCTAAAATTTATTCTGAGGCAGTGTGTTTCTCAAAGTACAGATCCAAACTATTTGCATCTAAATCATATGGAGCACTTATTTAAAATGCAGATTCCAAATACACATACACATCAGATTCATGGATACTGCCTGGAATATTTAGGCCTCCTGGAAGGATTTCTGGATATATACCTGGATATTTGATTATTACCAATGTATGTCACGCCTGCATCTTTTATGATACTCACTAAGATAAAGACATCTGCTTACCTGTTTCTCTTTTGATAGGACTATGAACTTCAAGGTGGACATTGTACTAACTACTTTTCCTGTTCCAAGTTCAGAGTGGGCATATGGACTGACTGGAGTTCACAAAGAGGGACACCCCTGGACCCTTGAGATTTGGGAGAGGCTTCCAAGAGTAACAAGAACAAAACTATTTCCATGGAACCACGAGAATCACATTTAAGGTTATGGTCATCTTTGGCTACATAGTGAGCTTGAGGCCAGTCTGGGGTACCTAAGATCCTCTCCCAAAAGAAAACAATAAACTATTTTAGAACTCAAGCAATAACAAAGCAAACTCACAAATAAATCCGAGATATACTGGATGGATTTTAATGGTATCAGGATATGAGAAATTCATTAATATGTTTTCAGATTCCAAATTGCAGCTTTTTTTAAAAAAGATTTATTTATTTATTATGTATACAGAAAAGGGCACCAGATCTCATTACAGATGGTTGTGAGCCACCATGTGGTTGCTGGGAATTGAACTCAGGACCTCTGGAAGAGCAGTCAGTGCTCTTAACCGCTGAGCCATCTCTCCAGCCCCGAAACTCACCATTGATAAGCATCACTTGTTGGGCTTAGAGGCAGAGCTCTTGCCTAGGATACCCAAGGCTCCGAAATTGAGTTCGGAGCCCTGCAAAGTAAAAAATAAGGTCTAGGGCCTGGAGCCCTAGGTCAGCAGTCACCAGCAACTGCTGCTCTTGCAGAGAGAGCACCAGGGTTTGGCTACCAGCACCAAAGTTTACAATCACCTGTAACTTCAGTTCAGGGGATCTGATGCCTCCTGGCCTCCACAAGCATGAGGCACACACATGATGTACACACATACATGTAGACAAAACACTCATACACAAAGTAAAATAACCTAAAAAAGACTAAATGCCACTGTTAATGTTAATCTCTTTCTCTCTCACGCACACACACACACACACACACACACACACACACACAAATATATGAATATAATGATTTTTAAAGGTTGGAAACCAGTATGGGGCTACATGTCGCAAGACCATCTCAAACAAAGTGAAGCAAAAAACACAGAATAAGGCGTGTTAAGTAAACCCGTGGAGCCCGGTGGTGGTGCCCACCTTTAATCCCAGCACTCAGGAGGCAGAGGCAGGCGGATCTCAGAGTACAAGGCCAGCCTGGTCTACAGAGTGAGTTCCAGGACAGACAGGGCTACAACAGGGCTACACAGAGAAACCCTGTCTCGAAAAACCAAAAACCAACCAACTAAACAAACAAAAGCCAATAAAAAAGTAAACACGTGGATATTTGTGTGTAGCTGTTGATTTGCGGACAATTAATATGTGATTATAAAAAAAAAAAAAAGTCCAGACGTTCAGTTCCTTCTCTGTTTCTGAAAATGCTTCCAACCCTCGCCTGATAATCAAGTAAGAAAACAGGAAAGCATCTTGTTTTTCCTTCCTGTGGCCCCTGCCAGCCAGGCGCTTCATCAACCAGCCACAGCTCTATCTCCAGAGTGCTGAGAATACGTGCCATGCCCGAGCCGCCAGGTGACATCATCTAGGACCCAAACACCTCCTTAGCTGCTATTGCAGCTGCCCCATCCCGTCAGAACCACCTCTTGGCCTTTCAGGGACACCTTTCTGGGCAGCCTCTCAATCCAGATTTAAAAAAAGCGAGCCAACGCCCCCAGGACAAGGCTGCAAAGCAACACCAGCGCCCTGCTGCCCTCCAGCCTCCCTCCAACCCATCCTTCATCCCTGTATCCTCCACCCACCCACCCAGTCGGGCCCCCTAGGTGTCAATCAGGACCCACCAGGGCTCCCGATGCCCCGATGGATCGATCCCTCCTCTGGGAAGCGCCGAGCGGCTCCGGTGGGTCCCGCAGTGGTCACCTCCGCGGCTCCTCCCCGAAAAGCCTGGGCTCCGAGCCCGCCCCGCCCCTGCTCGCTCCCTCCCTCCCTT